AATGTTTCACCTTTGCAGAAGGGGGTACCACCTTGGCTTTGTATGTGTTTGCAGGAAAAGGTTAATCGTTTCTACTCCACCTACTCGAATTCGTATATTGCCATTCTTGCGGCAACTTGCAACTCTAGCTATTCCATGAATTGGATTCTACTATAGACTTATTTAACCACACACGTGCAAGTTACAGAAAAAATGGGATTGTATAATTCCATTGACCCATTGGTTAAAAGTTACATGTCAAAAATGTTTAGATTCTGTTCTATAATTGTTTTTTTGTTGTTGAAATAGCTCTCATGTCTTATTGTCATTTTGCAAGTGGCTATGGTTCTTGAAACTTGGGTGCGAGTTGACACTTCGAGGAAGTTTTTTGCGAGTTAATAATTAAACGAGTATCGGCGAAGTGCAATTCTAGAGTGCGTTTCAAAAAAAGAAATTTCAGTGATAATATAGTTCCATTTATTTTGATATGTAATCTTATATAAGTATAATTTTATATTATAAAATTCAAATTGTAATAAGGAAGGTGAAGGGAAGACGTTCAAAAACATGTTCTTTTTTATTGTAGAAATTATTTGGAGTTCCTTCCACATTCGACACACCTAGCACAGTAACCGCCATGGCGAGTAAGTACAAACGTTTTATTCACAATTTACACGCACAGCTAGTTTATATTATGAATCTTGAGTCTCAGATCTTTGTTTCAAACTATTTCAACCAACAGCGGTCAGCGATTTGAACTTTGTCTTATTTGTAACATATCATATTACTTCTCAATTTCACTTCCTGCAAATATCGTTATCGTTATCATATAATCACACCGGAATAGCCCGACTACGGTAAAGTCAGATACCTCTCCAGAGGTCAACCTGCAAAATTGTATACCAAGACTGTAAACCGAAAAATTACTGTTGACAGAGACCGAAGGTCGAGGTCAACAGTAGTTCCAAGGTTTACAGTCGAGGTATATGATTTTGACGGTTGACCGAATGGAGAGGTCTACAATTGTTTTGTTAGTCCGAAGAAACTTATAATACTGGTACACATATAGACGACAATCATCAATCGGCATGGCTTCATTTCACAATCTTTTCTCTGAACCACGCCAGCAATGCGTACTCATTAGTAAATTAATGTTAATTTTACGTTTCTATTTGTATTTTTGCTATACTAGTCTAGTAAAGTCAAAATATCACTTTCATCAACGCTTACAAAATGTTGGGAAATTTTCTGCATTCCTCAATTGAGTCACATGTTATTTTTCAAACAAGCATCACTCCTTCCCCACTTTGTCTACATCTTCCAGTTTTGGACAAAGAGTGCATGTATGTACCTAGAAAAGACTTGTGAGAAGATTTGTTTGGTAAATTGTATAAAAAACGAGAAAATTCAGTGAAAGAAATTTCTGAAAATTTTCTGAATTGTTTACACTTTATCAAAACATTCTTGTCACAATTCTTTTCTAGGCATATAAGTGCACTCTTTGTGCAAATCTGGAAGATGTAGGCCATGTGGGGAAGGAGTGATTCTTGTTTGAAAAATAACATGTGACTCAATTGAGGAATGCAGAAAATTTCCCATCATGCACCCTGACCATGAACCAATCATTGAAAACATTCTGTAAAAAACACGTTTTTTTATGTAATGTTGTCTGATTGACAAAAATTTAATGCGAAAATTATTTAGAAATATTTTATATAACTGTTTTTGTTAACATTTTTTGTTTTTTAGTGCAATTGTTTTTGCTCCTCTCTACCAATTCTTGAGAATGAAATAAAATGTCTTTCCGAACAAAATAGCATATACAGTATGTTTTTAGACCTCTCAATATTATAGTTATACAAAAGATAAAAATCAAGATAAACCTTTCATTTCATTAACAAGATACTTTTTTAAAATCAACCAAAATTTCCTTTGTACAATTACAATATTATATTGTGTTTATGTCGTTTTGTTCCAATGAGGTTTGGAAAGATGTTTCATTCACTCTGGAAACATGATACCAAGAATAAAAACAAGTATTTGATGTGTTTTCTAAAACAGGATAGATGAAAGTATATATATATTTTTCAAATTTATTGTTACCATTCAAAAGATGACCATTAAATTGACGATGTCTTAAATTTTTAGATTTTTTATGACTGGTTTAAGAGAAACGCGTGTTCAAAAAGTTCTCCATATCGATACCACTCCTTTTAAAAGTTTTGGTTCAACTTTTGGTTTTAGGGGCGGAAGTTTTTTTCTAACTTAAAATGTGCCCCTCCCCTTTGTTAACTTCTTGATCCGCCAGTGATGTAACAAAAGGTATTTGAAATGTAATTGAAAAGGTGTATGCCTTAGCTAGAACTACTTTATAAAAGCATGGCGATCAAAAATAACCACCCTGCCCTGGATTCAAAAAGAAAGCATTTTATATCACGCATAGCGGAAGTAAATGTATATAAACTCTTGTAAATTGAGTACAATGTCACATTGATAAGCCATCCCATATTTTGAAACTACTATAGGTCAGATTTTACGCACGTAGTCTATCTTCGCTAATGAAAACTAAATGCATGTGTTCGGAGGTAATTTCACCATAGTATGATCACGATCACGTCCTCAGCCGTGTACCCGAGAGACTTTTCGGCCTAGTAAGTGTGAATTGAACGTCTTACTGGCCTGTAAAGTCCCTAAAGTACAGCTGACCTTCTATAACTTCATCTGCTACTAACATCATGGTGGAAGTGCATGTGTCATTCCGAGAAAGTATGTGTCACCTAAATTAATGTTGTGTATGTGTCACCTCAGAAGTTCAGTTGAGCTAGAGTAACGGTATGTGACGACTTTTCAAAAATGTATGGCAATGCGCTTTGAAACTCTAATAACTTTATAATGTATAGTATATATATATATTTATTTGACCATTTTTCAATTTAGACCAAATTTTCAAAAAGCAGGGCATAAATTTTCAAACTTTAGGTTCTAGGGCCCTAAAAGGTTTTACGCGCGGCCATAGGATGGGCCCAGAAAAAATGTTGGCCCAAAAATATTGTAAGGCCTCTCTAATGGGCCTTTTTGGGCATTCCTTGACCTTTTGGGCCTTATTTTTTCAATTTTAGGCCAAATTTTCAAAGAACGGGCCATAAATGTTCAGAATTTTGGCCCAAATTTTGGTTTTAGGGCCCTATAAAAATTTTCTGCGCTAGCATGGGATGGGCCAAGAAAAAATGTTGGCCCAAAAATATTGAAGGGCCTCTTTGTGGTCCTTTTTGGGCATTACTTGTCCATTTTTGGGCCTTATTTTTTCAATGTCAGGCCAAATTGTCAAAAAAACATGCCAGACTTTCTAATTTTTGGTGCACATTTTGGTTTGAGGACCCTAAAGAGTTTTTCCGCGCAAGCGCGGATATTTTTTCCTGACTTAGTGTGGGTCTCCCTTGTTAGCTTCCGGACCCGCCACTGTCCTTTACGATACAAAGGGGCTTGGTTTGGCATGGGGATTTTTTTTAGGGGCGGGGTTCGCGCCCCCCCCCCCCTTACAAAAAGCTCGCTACGGGCAGATATCTCTAAATACATTTAATATTTCAAAATGATCTCATTATTTTGTGTAATTTCGTTAAGGTTAAATCTTTCCATGGAAATGATCGTTAAATCAAACAGGAGAGGGGTTAAACTAATGCAATGAGCTAAACTATGATTTGAGAGAAGTTAAATTATGGCAAAAAGCAAAACTAAAATCAAGCAATGCTTAAATAATGATATTGGGCTAAAACATCGAAGGGAATGAGTAAGCTATGTTCAAATAGAAGTGGGTCTAAGCTAATGAAATGGGCAATTATAGTAAGAGGGAGCTTAATAAAGAGGAGGGACAATAAACCATATTAGGGGAGGAGCTAAACTTAAATGAGCGGGGATGACTAGTCTAAACTATGTTAGAAGTACAAGGAGTGCACCCTAAATTAACCCTTTTTCATTGCATAGATTTGTCAACAATGATTGGACTTTTTAAATGTTGGAAAATGTATTTATTATTCAAAGATGTCGCTAGTAGTTTTTGATTTATTTTGTATTAATGAAAAATAATGTTTTTTAGTATAAATAGTACAATGAACAGTTCCCTTGTCAGGGACATATCCGTCATCTAATTGGGCAAGACAAATTAGAAAAGTCGAATAGGCAAAAGTAAATACATGTATGTGAGGCAAATTTCAATATTGAGGCAAATACATATACTATAATGGACATCATTTTCATAATCTGAGAACGAACGGATGCAATGTCTTCTATCAGCTAACCGTGCGAGCAAAAATTCAATTAAAATTGTTTTTCTGCAAATTTCGGTGAGGCAAGAGGCAATTGCCTCCCCTGCCCCATGCCTTGTTACGCTCGTGTCTGTTATGACATTTAAGGAGATATCACGCCATGGATTTACCCCATACTTGGTTTACGTTCTGCACTGACTCGTCTCCAATTTGTGGTAAATGTCGTTATAAAATGTTGAAACATCCTATTTGGAGCTTTTCCTACGATAACGACTGGCATATATTAGTAAACAGAAAGCAATCTCTTAGAGACAAAATAATCCTCACTAAACATGTCTATAACCGCTATAACAGCCTCGACTCAATCTAATACGTACTCCCAAAGGAAAACATTGGTCAGTGATTGAATTACTGCGGCCTTAGCCACAAATTTGTGAGATGGTTTCTCAAATTTGCTGTTGTGTAACCGAATACGATTAGTGTCGAGGTGTTTGCCGACAGAATAATCAAAGACTGATAGCATATGAGTCAGTTATAGCGGGGTTCGGTTACTTCTAAACCGATTAGCTGCTGTAGCTCTGGATGCAGAAATCCTACTAGTGGCTAACCCTTGAATAAATCACCATAACGATAATATATTCTAAAAGCAAAACAGACCAAAGGATGTAACTTTCGGAAATTTGAACAACCAGGGACGAAATCGACAATTTAGATTGTTGGTTTCCTGAAGAATACATCACATATATGATTACATTTTAGGGGAAAACGACGCAAAATGATGGCGGGGTGATGTTTAATGAAAGGGGCTGTCTCCAGTCTTAAACCAGATCATGTACCGACCAGATACAAATGATTCAAATTCAACATTTCTATCAGCATTAAAATGTCTCAGTTGTCGAAGTTGTGCTTTACTCTAATAATGCCGTTTTTCACTTGCGATCTTATACTCTAATAGTCAGGGATCACCAATCAAAGAAGGACGAACAATGATTAAGAACGTGAACAATGTGATTCGTGTGACGTTCAAGCTCTTTTTGATGGTTCTACCAATAATTGGCAAGAATACATTGTCATATAAAGAGCTCGCATTGTGGATTGACAGAGTCCAAGTAAAAGCTTTTATAGGTAGGTGGATAATAGATGCATATATTGGATATACACTGACGACATATGGGTAGTTCGGAGAAAGCAATATAATTTTGACATTGAAAATGCGGCAAATGCTCGCAGTATTAACGGGCCATTAACACATTGATGATCATATTTACGAGTTCGTACGTGTAAACCAGACATGTGTGATTTCAGTTGACATTTATATTGACTATAAACAGATGAATTGACATAAACATATTGACTACTAGACCTCATGCCATTTATTGCCATTTGACTTTAACACATGTACAGTAGTACTGACCATAATACAATGAATTGTTTGGTGACCTAAACAAATGATTCAGATGTATGCCAATTGATATATACCAATACAAGAGTATGTAAGAGTGTTGCATCATATATGGACTCTACATTGTGTTAACATTTATACCATTTTTACCATTATTTATGCCATTATATGCAAATGCATGGTGTAGAGTACTGATTTGAACAATGTCGGACAGGAACATTAATATTAACACATATATATCTTATGTAACGACTTGGAAAGATAAACATGTTCCGATGTAAGTACATGCATTATCTTGAGTACTGGCTTGAACACTGTTTTGACATGTATACCATTGCAAGTTCATGCATTATCTTGAGTACTGGCTTGAACACTGTTTTGACATGTATACCATTGTAAGTTCATGCATTTTCTTGAGTACTGGCTTGAACACTGTATTGACATGTATACCATTGTAAGTTCATGCATTATCTTGAGTACTGACTTGAACACTGTTTTGACATGTATACCATTGTAAGTTCATGCATTATCATGAGTTCTGACTTGAGCACAGTATTGACATGTATACTAATGCTAGTACATGCATTATCGTGAGTTCTGACTTGAGCACAGTATTAACATGCATACAAATGCTAGTACATGCATTATCATGAGTACTGGCTTGAACACTGTATTGACATGTATACCATTGTAAGTTCATGCATTATCTTGAGTACTGACTTGAACTCTGTTTTGACATGTATACCATTGTAAGTACATGCATTATCTTGAGTACTGGCTTGAACACGGCATTGACATGTATACCATTGTAAGTTCATGCATTATCTTGAGTACTGGCTTGAACACTGTATTGACATAAATACAAATGTAAATAGTAAATACATGCATTATCTTTAGTACTGACTTGAACACTGTATTGACATAAATACAAATGTAAATAGTAAATACATGCATTATCTTTAGTACTGACTTGAACACTGTATTGACATGACTACAAATGTAAATACATGCAAGTCTCCAGTACTATACCGACTTGAACACTGTATTGACATGAATACAAATGTAAATACATGCAAGTCTCCAGTACTATACCGACTTGAACACTGTATTGACATGTATACCATTGTAAGTTCATGCATTATCTTGAGTACTGGCTTGAACACTGTATTGATAGTATACAATGTAATTAGTACGCGCATTATCATGAATACTGACTTGAGCACTGTATTGACATGTATACAAATGCTAGTACATGCATTATCATGAGTTCTGACTTGAGCACTGTATTGACATATATACAAATGCTAGTACATGCATTATCATGAGTTCTGACTTGAGCACAGTATTGACATGTATACAAATGCTAGTACATGCATTATCTTGAGTTGTGACTTGAGCACAGTATTGACATGTATACAAATGCTAGTACCTGCATTATCATGAGTTCTGACTTGAGCACAGTATTGACATGTATACAAATGCTAGTACAGTGCATTATCGTGAGTTCTGACTTGAGCACAGTATTAACATGTATACAAATGTTAGTACATGCATTATCATGAGTACTGACTTGAGCACTGTATTGACATATATACAAATGCTAGTACATGCATTATCATGAGTTCTGACTTGAGCACAGTATTGACATGTATACGAATGTTAGTAAATGCATTATCTCGAATACTAACTTGAACACTGTATTGGCATGTACAGGTATAGCAATATAAGTACATGTATTGAGTACTGACTGAACACTGTATCGACATCTATACACATGTTAGTACATCGGTATTATCATACGTACTGGCTTGGACACAGTATTGACATTTGCCCCGATCCATCGGCCGGCGCCCGGCCGATTGAGTGTTTTGCTCAATATTGTATTCAATTTTGAACAAAATACTCAATCGGCCGGGCGCCGTAGTGACAATCGGAGCAAATGTGACCAAGGCATTAGTACATGTATTGAGTACTGATTAAACACTGTATTGACATGCATACACATGTTAGTACATGTATTATCATGAGTACTGAATTGAGCACAGTATTGACAAGTATACCAATGTATACAAAATGGTATTGACATGTAGGCATGTAGGCATTGTAAGTACATGTATTGAGTACTGATTGAACACTGTATTGACAAGTATACCAATGTATACAAAAATGGTAGTACATGCATTGAGTACTGGCTCAAAACTTATTGACATGTAAACCAATGTAAGTACATGCATTGAGTGCTGGCTCAAAACTTATTGACATGTATACCAATGTAAGTACATGTATTGAGTACCGACCTGAGTACAGTACTGACATTTATACCTTTGTTGGTACATGTATTGAATACAGACTGAACACTTTATAGACATGTATACAAATCGTAAATGAATTATCTTTCGTTTTCTTAAATAAAGTATGAATTTTAGTTAGAAAATATATTTGACAAGGAATGCTTTATAATGATACCATATCATGGATAAATGAATAGCCGATATACACTCCCCTCCATAAGTTTGGCAACCTTAGCTCCCCTATTGAAATACGTGTTAAAGCCTCTTTACGTTTGAATTTTTATTTACTTAACCGGCGATTGAATAACATATAATATTGACGGAAACGTAACTTGACTTTATTTCCAATACTTCCAAATTTTCTCATCTTTTTTCCTCCATAACAGTAGGTCGAAAATTGATGATAAATTTGATGAATTTTTGAAAATCGTCATTCCCATGTAATCCAATGGGAAATGGAGGGTTCGGGGCAAAACAGAAATCAGGATATATTTTCAGAAAAAGATTTAGCAAAAAATATTTTTATATAGAAAATTGAATTGTCTTACTTTTTTGTACACTGAGTGTTTAGTTTATTTGACGAATACTAAAGTTACAGCGCTTCAAAGTCATTTTTGAAAATCATTTTTCGCCTCCTGTGTTATTTCAATGGGAGAGGTTTTTTGAAAAACAATTTTGACTTTAAAGCCCTATAACTTTGTTGAACCCGAAGAAACATATCAATTTCTTGTTGAATAAAGTTAGCAAATTCAATTGCCTGCCTAACTCGTATTTTTGCAAGGACTCGGATGGATGGATATCCTGTCATATGACTTGCGGCAAACCTTGGGAAATTTGGAGGTATTGAAAATAAAGACAAGTTACGTTTCCATCAATATTTTAAGTTATTCCATCGCCGGTTTAGTAAATAAAAATTCAAGCGTAAAGAGGCTTTAACACGTAGCTCAATGGGGGGGGGGGGGCAAAGGTTGTCAAACTTATGGAGGGGAGTGGTACCTGTACATACACTGTTTCGGCAAGAATAGACAATAAACTCTTTGAACAAAAACACAAATTTCACATTTTCAGACAACCACGTACGATTAAAATCATTTGAAGTCCACGGATTTGTGAACCTTGAGGGAGTATAAGACGGAAATAGAAAGGGGATAGTAGCGGCAAACTATCTAAGACTAAACTCATTTTACCTAGATCAATTATGATCTAAAAGTCATTCTTCCTATTTTCAGGTTCAGCTATGCAGATTGATCTCATTCGAGACGGGGCAGTTGTACCTTATCTCGAGAACCCAAAATTTCAATTGTACCTTCCTCCAATCCCGTCACACGTTCACATGGTCAATTTGACCTGGGCCGCTGGCAAAGAAAAGGTAAATTTTGATATAGTTATGACATACTGTATATTTTATAGATGGGGTATCAGACGTTTGAAAAGTTTCAACTATCGTCAACCAATTACTGTGGCGGTTGAAAAGAAAGTGCTATATCATACATTTAAAATTGAGATGTCTTTCAGCAATTCTATCATCAATGAACTGCTTTTACTTTGATGATGTATCTTCTTACAATTCAAGAGCCAGTGTCATCGGTAGGGCAACCTAAACTCGACTCATTTTCCCCGCCCCGTGCCCTTACTCAATGAAAAAACCGAAAAGTTGTTAAACATCGGATATAAGGTTGGTCTTTACTTACATGGACCTTCGGCGACGATCTTATAATCATTAATGAATCTATCACGGCACGATAACTGATGTTCTCGGTAATCGACGGTCTAAGAACGGTTAGTAGCGCTCATATAAGTGGCGGTTGACACTTCAATTTGATGTCATAAATAACATATACTGGTCACCGACCGTCTCATGTACATATTGGTGCAAGATAAGCTTACTACTAAGTACGTTTTAGATAGTGTTATCCTGCTATAAACAACAACTTACTCAAAAGACAAAACATTATTTTAACGCTTTCGTTTTGCTTATCTAAAAGGAGTAGGCTTATCTCTTAAAATAGTATAAATATTCTAATAATAGAAACGTTCGAGAAGTGCCTATATAAAGAAATATAATTTGAAAATGTTATTGATTTCTGATTCGCTTAACGGAGTGAGTTGAATAAATTACGAGAAACGAAATAAGATCGGTACATTATTGATTATTTCTTTAAAAAACATTTACTCAGAAACCATATTGTTTTTAAACACTTCATCAAAGTATCCAATGTTTATAAATATTAGTATGGGTGTGAAATAGCTTAGATTAAATCCGAATGAAAAGGGATCAACAATCGTTTTATCATAGAACCCTTTCCATTCGGAATATATCTAGAATACTCCGTTGCTCATAATATTTGGGATATTTTTCATTTAACATTTATTTTCACAAATTCTGTGTGCTCTCAAGTTTAAATAAAAAGGGATTTTAAAAATATATTTTCAGACTGTGCAAGTAATAAATGACATTTTCATTTCATTAGAGTTCTTTGTAAGAATCTAAGGATATTAATGGGAATATTTTCTGTAAAAGAGCGTGTTCTTTGGCATATTTACTGTTCGCAGTAATGGTATTCTTATCAATCTGAAAAATCATTATATATTTTCAAATAATGAATACATTTCTAGTGGTTACAATTAAGAAAGTATACTTTTGTGAAGTGTCCTATATTCCATACAAATGAGTAACGCTGTACAAAAGAACAACGTACAGCAGGTCATGCCGTGGCCACTGTGAACTTCGAAATAAAGGACGGCACAAGCTATCATTGCAAATTATGAAAAAAATGTGGAAAAAGAAACCTTAATATAATTGCTACTATCGTATGGCAGAGATATTTAAAGAACTATAGATAATTCAGAAAAAAATGTCCCCTTGTAGGGTAAGAGGTCCTATATCAAATCATGTTCCTACTATTCATTGATTTATATGGTGACCTCTTTCCCTTATTATCTTATACACAATCAGGGCCAAGAAGGGCCTTTGAGAAAAGGGACCATAATCCCCGGAGACCATAATTTCTTTCACACCGGTGTAAAAGGTTGAAAGAAATTATGGTCCACCAGGGATTATACCCCCTCCCTTTTAAAGGCCCTTACTGGCCCTCATTGTGTATGAGATAATAAGGGATAGAGTTGTATTTAGGTCACCATATAAATCAATGGAGAGTAGGACCATAATTTGATAGGACCTCCTGCCCTTTTACACCGGGATCTATAAGAAGTACAGATTCTCTTTTTCATATTGTTTTGCCATGACACTCCTTAATATTGGTTAAACATGACATAAACGGGACATTCGTACCCGCAACATAATGTCTCAGTGACTATACATTATTTGTAGCCCTAGTAATTTATTTTATTCCATAGTTAGCATGGTATTCATAGGATAACATGTGAAAATAAAAACGGTATTTTTGTAATCGGTGGTAAAATATGATATTTTTGACAAATTTTCAGTTAACCATAGCATACGGTTTTTTAGCCATGACATACGGCGCCATATGCGATGGTTAATGGATTTTTGCTACTTCAGACTCAAAACGAGGCTAGGTGTCAACATCGCCGGATCGTTTGGAAAAATTCGAATTAAATAACTTAATTTCCGACGATTCTGATGATGACTTTAACTATGGAATAAAAAGAACATCCTATGATTTACTCGTAATATGATTTTAATCCACTCATGGATATTGATATCTGCACTCTCTCGCTACGCTCGCTCGTGCAGATATCATATCCATTCGTGGATAAAAATCATATCACTCATAAATCATAGGATATCCTCTATATATTTACTGAGTGACTTATATACAATACTAAGAGACATGCCTACCCATTTCAGATAAGCCGAGCGAACTCGATGAAACGAAAGTGTTTAAATTGAGTATTGTTATTTACAGATCGTTTGAGAGATATTATGACAGTCATTGGCTCTTCAAGATGATGAATATTTTGAATTTTTTTTTCTAAATACCATAGTTTGTTGCAATTACGGTGCTGTGCTATCTCTGCTCGCGTTTTTAAAGGTACCTGACCTCACTGTTTCACTTCGTCTTTTTCTCCATCCAAGGAAACAAGGCGCTAGTAGAGGGGTGAGGGGGGCCGAGACGAGGTAGAAGTTATTTTGACCCCTTACACAAAGTGGGCATGAGGTTTATTGCGACTAATATTTTAGAGCGTGTGTTCTAATAACGTATTGATTAAATGCTGAATTGAATTTATTAAATTGAGATACTTAGGTTGTAAAAATTTATTGGTAAATCCAGTAACTTACGAGAAATCTTCTCGATCACGGATGGGGTATGCTCGAAGGCTATTTAGCCTTTACGATCATTTTGGCATTGCCTAAGTATCTGCTCTTGATCGATTTCCATATCAGAATCTGAATCCAGACGTGTTGAAAAACAGGCTGTCTACATGATGTTAGTCCGTTCTCTGCTCTAATCGATGGTGGGTGAAAACGAGCTAACATCATCATTAAAAACAATCAATTCCGTCTAAAATTGTTCCTCAAAAGAGGCTGTCAAAATATCCACTCGGGAATGTATCGCATTCCCCCCGCATAAAACTTCAGCAGCGTTATGCTTGTTTAAGCAGCTTCTGAACATCTATAATTTAACTTCAAAATTTTGAAAGTTTGGCTACTCGGCCAGCTACTACTCGAGATATTCCACGGGAATTCCATTTTATTTATTTTCTGTTATGATCTGAAACACGAAAATCGTGACAATTTATACGAGGGATGCAAGAAACCAGCCGTCTGCTCTAAGTGGTATAATGATTTCACGTTCCTAAGTGGCTGATAAATTGTCATACCCGCCATAAAATCTTCCACTGATTATGTTTTCCTTGCATTTCCGTGCCTTGTGTATGACATGACTGGTATAATATTCCTGCCTATCCAAACACCTTTGTTAGCGACATACTCGCATCGTTTTTTAGTCTGCATGCTGTATCGTACATAAATTACAACATGAAAATAGAATTAACTGAAAGTAGAGATTAGCACAATCAAAACAAACATGGCCCCAAAACAAACTTTGGTATTTTGCGAAAAGTTTAAAAGGTCATTATAATATAGCGGAAGGCTGTATTCCGCATTTGTAATTCTTATTTGCTTAATCGTAACGATGTCACGGTATAATTCATATTCCGTGATAATTATTTACTTCAAGACCATCCTTGCACACATATACAGGGTGGAGCAGAACAATTTTGCATCATTTTTCGAAATGCTTAAGATTATAGAGATAAGCTACAGCACACGTAATTTTCATAATGTGCACATATAAATACCAGTACATATTGATATTCTAATAAATGCACCCGTATCATTTAATAATAAATGAACAAATGAATGTATATGTTATACAAACTAAAATGAACACATACCAAGCGGTGTAAGTAACCGAGAAGCTACAAAAACAATTGAATGAAAAAACCCTAGCTGTACGGGCCTTTTTGCAATATTTGTTTATATAATTTGTTTTTACACTTTGTTTCAGTATGTTTATCACTTTGAAAAGATAACTTCACTTGACCGAGGGTTGCTCTTCGACCCTATACTAAACATACCAGATAAAGGGGCCATTCCGTCCCTACCCAAAGGTAAGAAACCCTATATTGAATAAGAATACTGTACGATTAAAGCGTACATACCATTGAGAGGGGCAATACTGCCAATACCTTAAGGTAAGAAAGCCTATTTGGTCCATATAAAAAGGTAACAAGGCTGGTCATTGAAGCATGGTCATTTCTTCCATACCAAAAGGTAAGAAAGCCTATCCTGAATATGAATATATATAAGATAATTTAAAAGTCAATACCGGCAGTCAAAGGGGACCATGTTGTTCAGCCCAAAGGTATAAGATACTCCATACTTAAACCTACTTGTGAGAGGGGTATATGGAAAGCAGATAATTATAAACGCCATATAAGAGAGAGTAGTAACGTCCCTACCCTTTGACTGCCGGTAGGTCATACCTGAGAACGATTACATCGACGATTACATCCAAATGCAAGCGTCTATTGAAGCCCATGGCTCAAAACAACAGAAAAGGGGTCATTCAGCCTACACGCTCTGTATAAAAATGAAAATATAGAACAACATTTAGAAATGTTTCTTTAATGCTTCTATTATATTGTATTACATTTCCATTTTCTTTTCCAGTTTTCCATCTATCTATACCGTGTACCGGAAGGGCAAGGGGAACTGGATTTCTGAGGATTCTTTTGCGTATTGTTGACGATAAAAAGCGCCACATAAAGGGATCCCCTGTTGATCTAAAACTTAGAAAAGTGTGTTCGAAATATGGCGACACAAAACAAATAACAAGTAATTTAAAATACTTTTTATTAATTCAAAAAACAATAATTTATGCATTATGGAGATGAAGTTTTTTTTGGTATCTGAGATATTTTGCTTGTTGAATAATCTTTGGAATTACTTGCGACATATAATATTGCTGTCGTGGACATAATAGATCTATCGTATTTGCTTTTAGGAAAGCCTCCACAAAACCCACCCAAAACGTCACGGTGTTTGAGGAAATGTCTCAATGGTGGCGTCTGTAATAAGAAGGGGAAATGCCAATGTGCGAAGGGATTCCGAGGCAAAATGTGTCAGAAACGTAAGTTTATAAAAGCATGAATTGATCGAATCATCACAATGTCTTGCCATAACAATGACACTTTTTGTAACAAATAAATAAAGACCGTTCATTTACAAGCAGGAAGTCGGGTTTCCAATTAAAAGATCTTCGCTCAGTACTAATAATGCCATCTTTATTTTGGGGGAATAAGGCATACATTGAGAATTTATTTTATGGACTAAATAAAACGTTTAAAGGGTGACGATAAGCTTCCCGTATAAAAAACAATATGGCGGCTCTTGGATCAGTCCATTTTTAAGAAATAAGGGGAGTTCTGTAAAATCCAGTTTATTGAAATTGTCTTTGAGATAAAGTAATCCGTTTATAATGATTTTGAAAACATTATCCATAGAGTGATTGCGTTCAAAGAATATATACAACAGCCAATATAAATCCTTGTATTAGAACTGCTTTGTTTTGTTTGTAGGATATTTCATATGCCAAGCTGTGTGCTATTACGTTATTGGGAAATTTAGATGTCAATTTTTCCTTATTATACACAAATAGAAGATCCTGAAACTTCACCCATGAATGTGGAATTGATTTGTCAAAATAAAAATCACCCTTTTATAAATGTGTGACGATCTATAATATACTTATGCTATATAACAGTTAGAGGTGTTGACACAACGACCTCGAGCCTGTGAACCCTTGAGTATTATTCCGGGATCGGGCCTTTTATACTAAACGGTGAGCAACACCAGAAACGAGCGTTCGATTTGCTAAACGATATGCGTCACCCTTTAACATAATAAAATGGATTCTTCCAGCTCTTTGCAGAAAGTCTTGTGGCCCATATGGGGAATGTGTTGGGACGAACAAATGTCGATGTAGGGATGGCTGGGTTGGCCGATATTGCAGAAAACGTAAGATCTGTTTAGAAATTCTTGAAAGAAGCACACAGTTTATGAACTACTCATAGTTTTCATGCATAGGCTGGGGTCAATATAAATAATTTTCAAATTAAAATAGCATGGCATCTTTGTCCAATTCTAAGTGAAAGATATCGGGATGCATATGGATAAGGCAATTGGTACCAGTAGAAATTGACTACTAAAGTATATGATAACATAGGTAAAGGCTTTCTTCAAAAGTTTAATGAGGAAAAAGGTCTCTATTTTACCTGTTGAAAAATAACGGAAATATTACCCCCTACACAAGTAAGGTTAATCTAAAAAATAAACTTCCCTCGCAGGCCTTCAAGTAGAACATAGAGGATGACTATCCATTCCCTCAAATATACATTTTCCGCCTTGTTTGTACCATGGGCTTTCAAGATTGAAAGCCCATGTATGTACATAGAATTCCATTTTTAGTTCGGGACTACAAGGTACTGTATGTAATGTGAGAAGAATGGCCTATATAAGAACTTAACTGAACCAACACCCCCTCACATAAGACAAGATTCCTAACGTATAGGTTCAATCATATGTTTTATTTCCCTATGTACAAATGATTTATTTAAAATCCCAATTTCTTTGCGACTCTCTTCTTTCAGGATCAAAACGTCATGGACGATCTTCAAACAAAAACAAAGGGCGTAAACGGAAAAAGAAGAAATGCAAAGCGAACGAGGAGACCACTGATGGTATTATTAATAGTAATATGAACTCTACAACAGTTAAAAACTCCAAGGACTGTACTGTACAGAAATCTAAGAAAAGACACAAACAGAAGACGGTTGTGTAGTACATCAGATGCGTGAATAGTACTTCAAACACATGGCTTTAATAGTGGTACATCACAAACACAAAGTAAATCAAATACACAAATCGAAATAATAACGATACGGGAAACACATGGCTTGAGAATATGAGTTACACCAGAGCTACAATTGCCTGAGAGTAGCACATCGGATACATAAGACTTAAGATGGTGTACAATGTAGTGGTGCAGAGAGTAAAATGAACTAATGAAAAGATACAAACAGAAAACGTTGGTGTAGTGCACGAAATACTTGGCTCTAAAGGGTCTCATGACAACACATGTGTAACGACCTGACCGGTATTTGGTTGGTTAACGAGCGGTAATTAATTAATCAGAATCGCTACATAAAATATTCAAGGGTTCACGGGTAACGATCAAGTTACAATTGTGTTATAAGGCACTATTAGATTTACTGTAATGCTGAAATTAAGTTATATTTGAAAGTCAATGGAGTTTACTGCAAAGTTGGAAAGATGGCAGCACTTGAAGTATATGTCACTTTTGTGACATAAAATACCACAGCTTATTGCAACTTTCTCCTCCTAGACCTGGTAATTAAACAGAAAACAAGCATGTATGGTTATAAAACTTATTAAAATATGAAATACTTTATTGCCTTTGGTACAAATATATACTCTTTAATACTGCTGAATGAGATTTCTATATTATGGACTTTATGCACTTTGTCAGAATAAATAGCTTTATAAATGAGACCAATTCTCTCTGGATAATGCTGTGATGGCTTGTATACTGTTATGTTTGATATTCAAATATAATCACAAAATATGACTATGTTTATCAACAAATGCAGCTGACTTATAATTCAAGTAAGCGATTCTTCGCCTAACTCAAATATGTATTATGGCAATATCTGGCAATATGTGAATAGTTCTATTCACTAATAAATGATAAAGTTCTTATCATATGGTTGACTAAATGACTACAAAAATAACGTACAAAAAAAAGTATAAGTGCAATCACAGCAACTTAACCAGAGAATGATTTATAAATTATCACTGTATTTACAATGATCACATGTCAATTATTGCACCTAACTTGGGTGACTTTGAGCATTGGGCTTAACTGCTGTCTGTCATTAACAGACAAATATATGACTAAAATCTATGTATTTACACTAAAACTAGCACCGGTATCTAAGTTAAAAACTTTCCACAAATTCTGTGAAATGTAGAATAATATCTTACGACAACTTCTCAATGCGGCTTGTTTCCACAAAGTAAAAGTCAGTTTGGTTAAAAACACATGTTCTGTGAAACACACTCAATTGCAAAATATGGACACCTTCTTGGGATGTCCTGACTAAATCATGTGATATGAGCTTTCTCATATAAAGTTTCAAATTATGTGAACAATTATCTTAAATGGCCCATATGTACATTGACATTAAATGATTTAACTAAGATTGAAGTTCCCAATCCAATTCACAATGCTGGTTATCACTGAATGAGCAAAATATTGAATCTAGGTCACCGAAAATATTCAGTGAAAATGTGGGTATCTTTCCCAGATTCTGAGAGTAAAGACACAATTTATAACATTCCAAACTAAATTGGCTTACAATTGACCAGATATCTCATAAAAACAATGCTAAAGTATCTTCAAAAGTTTTAAATCTGAAATGACGTATGTAGAAATTCACCTGGTTTTTTCCAAGTCTTTAACTTGGAAATATCACGACCAACTTGAATCTGATAACCAAATGAAAGGCGCAAACTACATCCAAAGATGTTGGGTTAAAAGAATTCACTCAAAATTAACTATGAAAGACCAATCGCATATGGATTATTCAAAAGTAAAAATGGAACTTGTCCATAGATTTTGCAAGAAAATTGAGCAGAAAATATCTCAACTTTCAAACCTCATTTACTGACAGATATTTTCAGTTTTATGGCCCAAAACACTATTCAAAACTTACCCCTGGTTTTGTGGGTAACATGTTGCGATGCATTACATCGAAATGGATAGCTTTGCGTCAAGAAATTGGGAAAATAAGAACGAAATTTCTAAGCAGCCTTCTGCTCAGTCTCCGATTCTACAAGTATGACAAAGGAAATTAAATATTCATGAATTATGAGAATGGAGCACTGTGATTGGTCAGACTTTCAGTGACGTCACTAAACTTACATAAATAGTCTTACCAGACGTAGTAAAAAACAAATTGAATAGATAATCACTTGTTACAAAAAATATCAATGTACACATAAACCTTCAAAACATGTAATACTCACTAATGTAATTTTCTCAGCACAGTTCTTCACCTGATCTCATTCACTCCGTAATACCAAAACAAATATGGCGGCCCTCAAAAATAAAAGCTAATAAAATTTTCCCGAAGGAAATCAATGTGTATGCACTAACTATGCGATGAATACTAAAAATAATTGAGGCGGACCATAGAGAGAATAATGAGACATCCACCCAACCAGCCCAAGTAAGTGACATGTTATATTACACAACAGAAAAAGGACTGACTTGGCCGGTCGCCACATTATCCCCCCCCCAAGAAAAATTGTCCTTCCATGGACATGGTTAATGACTTAGTGAAGGAGATCAAGTAGAACTTAATTATTAATATAATATACAGTCTTAGCAGCAAGTTAACTTATAGATATGATCCTGATGTGGACAAGATATGATTATCTGAGTTAAAATGTCCTTGCATTTACAAGATTTCACTTGAGCGATATCTGTTGAATTTGAAGTCACAGTTGCTTCTTCCACTGTCTTTGGTTCTATGGTTACCTCGGCCACCAATTTTGGTGCTGGCATGGTCAAGTCCAACCCATTTGCCAACGCGACCTTTTTTACCGGCCTATGAGCGGGAAGAGGTTGTTGCCTTTTCCTTGAGCGCTTCTTTGAAGATGATTGTTCAGCAGGTTTATTTCTTAGTTTTGATGAAGTTTCAGATGATACATCAACATTTTTAGACGATGCTTTGGACAACCTTTTAGGGGACATATCAACAGTTCTTGAAGATTTTTTGATTGACTTCTTGGTCGGAAAGTTCACAGTTTTTGATTTTTTGGTGATGAGAACTTTGCGGGTGTCCGTTTTTAGGTTATTACCAATGGGCTTGTCCTGCCCGACAATTTGGTTAAATGTCTTGATATATTTGTTCAGATTCTCTTCTGTAGTTGACGTTTTTGTCGAGTCTGTTTCAGTCTTTCTAGACGTAGCTGCATCATCCTTTTGAGTCAAGGTAGACTCAATTTTCTGAGTCACAGGAGCCTTAGCCTTCTTAGTCGGCTCAGGAGAAACTGAACTTGATTGTGGCGTGCTTGATATATTAGAGGTAGTACTTGGCAGTTTGCATGCTATAGCGTCTTTTAATGCATCTACATATTTGTTATTATTTATTTCTTTGACCTCACTTGACATTTGGTCAAACGACATGTCTTTGAGAGGATCATAGATCACAGTTTCAGCATCTGAATCAAACATGTCTTTGGGACAAGTGGACGGTATCTTCTTGTCATCCCAAGGTTTGACATTTACATCAGGGGAGAACAGGTTACCCACCATATTGGCTGCCGCTCTCGCACGACAATTTGTCTGGTGTCTCAGGAATTTCTGTGGCAGGCGTTTAAGAATTTTGACATTGCAATTCATTACATCACAGCGTAGGTACTCGTGATACATGACAATGTGCTGGTTCAGTTCATCTAAGGTGGGAAAACTGAGTTGACACTTTAGTCCATGTTTCTTGTATTTGAAGCATACAAACTGGAAAGTACAAAAAATAGATTAAGTATATAATTTCAAAGTTGGTAATCTTTCAACCAGGCGGGTTTTCTTCGTTGTCTGGCTGGAGCAATCCCAGCAGTCTCCTGCTGAGGTGGACCTTCGATTTGATGTATTTCATCAAGATTATCTACAATACACTCGTTTAGAGCAGGCTCTACATTGTCACTGACAGGAGTTTTGAGTTTTTCTTCTGACTCTGAAATTTCCCCTTGAAATTTTTTCAACCTATTTTCATGAACCACCTTTGGCTTGTTTTTTACCAAAATTTGAAATGTTGAATCAGATAGTTTATCTGTAACCTTGTATGGCCCCGTCCATGGATTCAGAAATTTCGGGGTTTGACCTGTCTTGACAACTGGAACGTGAAGCCAAACCATATCATTAACCGTGACCCTGTGACCACTTGATTTAACGTCATACAATCGCTTTTGATGTTCTGAACTGATTTTGATGTTAGTTCGAGCAGCCTCAAACGTGGTCAAAAGTTTTTGACGGAGTGTTTCACAATACTGGGTATAGGAATGATTTTCTTCTGACATTTCAGGAGGCGGGCCAAAAACTAGTTCGGATATGAGCTTTGGATGCCTGCCAAACATTAGAAAGGCAGGCGAATAACCAGTGGTTTCATGTCTTGCGCTGCGGTAGGCCGCGGCGATGAAAGGTAGATGTAAATCCCAATCTCGGTGATCGGTAGAGACAACTTTGGACAACATCGCTTCGACGGTTTGATTGGACCGCTCCACCATACCATCCGACTGGGGATGGTATGGGGTCGTACGAGTCTTAACAGTATCAAGCATGGAACATAGTTCTTGAAACAAAAAACTCTCAAACTGCCGACCTTGGTCAGAATGTACTATGAGGGGAGCTCCATAGCGACAAATGAATTCATTGAGAAAAGCTGAAGCAACAGTGCTTGCTTCTTGGTTTTGCATGGGAGTTATTTCCAAGAACTTGGTGAAATAATCTTCCACTATAAGTACATATTTATTCCCGAGCATTGTTTCAGGTAACGGTCCCAAAATGTCCAGGGCGACACGTTCCAAAGGCGCACCTACATTGTAGGTCTTCATGGGTGCTCTTGGTTTTTTACCAGGAGATTTTCTTTTCTGACATTTTATACACTCAGCAACCCATCTAGTAACATCGGCCTTGTACCCTAACCAGTAGAACTTATTCCTAACCCGATGTATGGTCTTACCAATACCCAAATGTCCTGAATCCCGAGCATTGTGAGAACCTTCAAGAACATGGTTAATTAATGAATTTGGAACTACAAGTTGCCAAGTGATAACATCTCCACTAACATATTTTCTCTCAAGAATACCTTCTCTCAATCGCAACCGATCCCATTGGGACCAAAGACGTTTAAGTTCAGGTGATCGATCTGCAACGTCACACCAGGGGGGCCTATTTCCAGAATCTAACCATTTCACCAAAGGAGCAAGTAGGGGATCAAGACTAACCGCTTCATCATATTGAGCTTTTGATACTCCATCTAACCAGTTGCAAC